TGTTAGCTTTGATCTGGCATACACAATGTACAAGGAGCAAGATCCACTAAGTGAGGTTGATATCAAAAGAAAGTATAAAGAGAATATTAAACATGAAATAGATCAAAACTTTGCCTTTTCTCTCTAATATTCTGTACATTTGTACTGTATACTGCATACATACTGGAAAACTGTATCAAGATTGGCTAATCCTCAAAAAGGCGGATGCCAATCACAGGCCACTAAGAGTGATGTGGAGTATCTATGAGCTAAGAATGTTTAGGAGGGAAACTCTGCTCTGGACTAATTTCCTGAATAGATGTCCTGCTCCATTCTCAAGATCTCTGATGCTGCACTCTAACTCCTGCAATTGCTCCTCCTCACAAACAACTGGCTTCTTCGTCTTGTGAAATGCCTTGGAGATAAGAGACTGTTTGCGCATTTCAATTTGCTTTGACAAGAGGAGGATTGTGGATTCCAGCAGGGAGATAGAGACCTCTCTAGCCTTGCTCAATAGCATGACCATGCTGCAACCTTCAGAAGTAGCCTTCTATGCGGTCTTCTTGAAATGTTTCTTGGCCTTCTTCGTCAAGAGAGTGTAAGACTGGATCTTGGCTTGAGAAGCTTCTTCATCTCCTTTTCTTAGTGCCACTTGCAGCTCTTGGATAATGGCTTTCATCTCGACGAAGATCTCTTGCATGGTGCTGCAGAGATCTACTAGCTCGAGAGAACCTTCCATTTCTCCATCCAACATCTTCCTCTCCTGGGCGGAGCAAACTTGGTTGCTTGGTAGGCCAATGATTTCTTCAACACCATTGTAGATGTTTCCAAGCCTCATAAGACCCTCGCACATTGTGCCGATGGTAATGGAGGAAGAGATGCTAGCCTCTAGGCTCAGCAGCTCTTGTTCGACTTCCGTCTCACTGATGTGAGGCCTAGAAGGCAAACTTATCGATCTTAGGTGGAAAGCCATATCTGATCTTGAAGCTTTTCTCTGAATTGTGGGTGAAGAAAGAGCGCCTTTTGGTTTGATGCGTCTACATTCTGCTGAGCCCTATATATGCACAGAAGTATACAACCAGGAGTATTTGATTTCTAGACACGAAGAATCGTGCCATTTCATCCCCCAGATGCTGTCCCCTATAGCTCGAGATCTGGCAGCTGAATATCGATTACGAAAGCTAAAGTCGTCTCATGTTCAGTGCATCTCTTAGTGTGTTCATTGTCCCCGAGATGAGCCATCAATTATCATGTTCCAGCAATTGGCAGCAAGAACCAGCCGTGTGGTACTGTGTGTATGGTGGCTCTTTGCATAATTGCATGCTCAAGCCATTATTTAATTTAATCAGGTCTTTTCATTGGTGAGAACCACAGGTTGCAGCCTTGTGGATTTGAGCTGCCATGTTTAGGTGATGGCAAACAAGATGGGTCGGAGCTGCCATGTATGCCCTTTTTCTCTCATCCAGTTTGACCTACCCACCTTGTGGGTGTAGAAGACTATAGGATGCAACTCAATTGTATTCCATCGGAGTCGGTTACATTATATACAAGAGGTGTCTTGCGTGACAAGCCAACTAACTCTACAATATCTCTAGAGATCAATCTATACAAGGCTAGAGATAAGAGGAGAATCAGTCGGAAATAAATACAAGAATATCACGTTTCAACACCCCCCCGCAGTCGAAGCGTCGGCGTCGGCGTCGGCGTCGGCGATGCAAAGACTGGAACGGAACTCCTGGAATGCAGCGGTAGGCAATCCCTTGGTCATGATATCGGCAAACTGTTGGGTGGTCGGTACATGAAGTACACGGAGCTGACCCAACTGAACCTTCTCGCGGACAAAGTGAACATCGAGCTCGATGTGTTTAGTGCGCTTGTGCTGCACCGGATTAGCCGCGAGATAGGTGGCCGATACGTTATCACAGAAGACCACAGTAGCCTTCGGAAGAGAAATCCGAAGCTCACCAAGAAGATGACGAAGCCAACAAGTCTCCGCAACAACATTGGCGACAGCACGGTACTCGGCCTCAGCACTCGAATGGGAAACAGTGGGCTGCCGTTTAGAGGACCAAGAGACCAAGGAGTCACCGAAGAAGACACAATATCCAGACGTGGAGCGACGAGTGTCTGGACAGCCAGCCCAATCCGCGTCAGTATAAGCGAGGAGCTCAGTCGAGGCGGATGCGCGGAGACGAAGACCGTAGGTCGGAGTGCCACGAATATACCGAAGAATGCGCTTGACCAAAGACCAGTGGACATCACGAGGCGAGTGCATATGCAAGCAAACTTGCTGGACTGCGAACTGAATGTCTGGTCTGGTGAGCGTGAGGTACTGAAGGGCGCCCACAATACTGCGATAAAGAGCAGCGTCGGTGGCAGGCTGGCCGGCGGAGGCTGAGAGCTTCGGCTTGGCCTCAGCAGGTGTGGCGGCTGGTTTGCAGTCAGTCATGCCAGCACGGTCCAGAAGATCAAGAGCATACTGTCCCTGATGCAGAAAGAACCCAGTGTCATCACGTCGCACATTAATGCCGAGGAAGAAGTGCAATGCGCCGAGATCCTTCAGGCGAAACTCAGAACCGAGGCGACCAATGATGTCGCGAAGAAGATCCGTGCGGGAGGCAGTGATGACAATATCATCAACATAGAGCAGAAGTATAGCCACATGATCAGCCCGATGCAGCACGAACAGGGACGTGTCAGATGTAGTGCTGCGAAACCCAAGAAGACCAAGAAATCCGGCGATGCGCTGGTACCAAGCGCGCGGAGCCTGTTTGAGGCCATATAAGGACCGGGACAACAGACAAACATCATCCGGCCGCTGAGGGTCAACGAACCCAGTCGGCTGCTGACAGAGGACTCGCTCCTGAAGATGGCCATACAGAAAAGCATTGTTGATGTCGAGCTGATGGACAGGCCAGTGACGAGAAGCAGCCAGCTGAAGCACCACACGAATCGTGGCAGGTTTGACGACTGGAGAAAAAGTCTCAGAGAAGTCAATGCCAGCACGTTGTGCAAATCCTCGGACAACCCAACGAGCCTTGTACCGATCCAGTGAGCCATCTGGATGGAGTTTGTGACGAAAAACCCACTTGCCCGAGATGATGTTGGCTCCAGGAGGACGAGGAACAAGGGTCCAGGTCCGGTTGGCGACGAGAGCATCGTACTCAGCTCGCATAGCGGCGGTCCAATGCGAATCACTCAACGCAGAACGCACCGATCGCGGAACCGAAGAGAGGATCGTGACGCTGAGGTTGTGGTAGCGCGGGTTCGGCTGGTGCACACCGGCCTTGGCACGCGTCACCATATGATGGTGAGGTGGCGGAGGAGGCGGGCGTGGACCGCGACGCCGAGGCACCACAGCGACTGGCTCAGATGACGAAGAAGAAGCCGGCGCTGTGACGGGTGTCAAGGGCCCGGCCGACGGGGCCGAGAGGGTCAGCTCCTCCAGAGCCGACAGGGAGCCGGAGTGCGCACGCTCGGTCGGCGATGTGGGCGCAGAGGAGCCCGAAGAGCCCGGCTCCGCCTGAGCCGACGAGGCCCCTGATGGTCCGGCTGGGGTGGCGCCCGATTCCACCAGAGTCGGGGGGCGACGACCCAACGAGGCCGGGGGGACGGACTCCTCCAGAGCCAAGAGGCGGGGGCCCGGCATGGCCGGGGAGGCCGACTCCTCCTGAGTCGGCAGAGGGAACGCCGAGGGCGGCGAGGCAGCACGCGACGAAGGCGCAGCCGCGCCCGAACGACGAGGCGGTGGGAGCGCAAGGGCTCCACGAGGCCTGCGAGGAGAGGCGTCCAGAGGTGACGAGGGACGCGATGCAGCCTGCTGAAACGGAAAAACAACCTCATCAAAATACACGTGCCGAGACACGATCACACGATGGGACTCCGGGTCGTAGCAACGGAAACCTTTGGTGTTTGGTTGGTAGCCAAGAAAAACACAAGCGATAGAGCGAGGCGCAAGCTTGTGCGGTGTCGTGGCGGTGATATTGGGATAACAAAGGCAACCGAAAACATGAAGATCATCGTATGACGGAGGTGATCCAAATAAGAGGTGATGAGGGGTGTAGTTCCACCGGGGTTTGCAAGGCCGGATGTTAAGGAGAAGAGTAGCTGTGGCGAGGGCATCGGGCCAAAACCTCGCCGGCATGTGTGCGTGGAAGAGCAAGGCGCGAACACTCTCGTTAAGAGTGCGGAGAACACGTTCGGCACGACCATTTTGCTGAGATGTGTATGGACATGTGAGACGAAAAATTGTGCCATGAGAGGATAAAAGAGTGCGAATGGCGATATTATCAAATTCCTTTCCGTTGTCGGTTTGGAGGTGAGCAATGGTGCGGTGAAAGTGGGTGGCAACATAGGCGTAAAATGCATGAAGAGAGGAAGCGACGTCGGATTTGCGGCGCAACGGAAAGGTCCAAGTAAAGTGAGAAAAATCATCCAGAATGACAAGGTAATATGATAAACCCGAATTGCTAGGCACGGGAGATGTCCACACATCACAATGAAGAACATCAAAAGGGAAAGTAGCAATGGATGATGAAGTTGAAAACGGCAAACGAACGTGTTTTCCTACGCGACAGGCATGACAAGTGTGTGCTGCCGATTTAGTACATGAAAAGGGAAAAGTCTGCAAAATTTTATGAAGAGCGTCGGCGCCGGGATGGCCAAGGCGAGCATGCCAGAGAGACACATCGGCGTGGAGGGCGACGGGACCACTGCTTGTCGTTTGGCCACACGGGTAAAGATCGCCGGGGGAGTCACATCGGTGCAGAACCTTCCGGGAGTGGGCATCCTTGACAGAAAAACCATGTTTGTCAAACTCAACAGTAACAGGATGTAGAGCGGCCGGCGTCGGAGGCAGAGGGTTTGGCCATGGAGATGGTTGGGGGTTTTGGGTGAGAGGGGTAGAGCGGCGGCGGCTATAGGAGGTACAGAGGAGCGGTGGCGGCGATTAGGGTTTTGGGAGGGAGAGGTGGCGGCAGGAGGAGAGGGTGCGGCGGGAGTAGAGGCGGCGGCGGCAGGAGGAGTTGGCGCGGCGGCGGCTAGGGCTAGGCGCGGCGGCGACGGGTTGCGGAAGCGATAGGATCACGGTAAAACTGATACCATGTAGAAGACTATAGGATGCAACTCAATTGTATTCCATCGGAGTCGGTTACATTATATACAAGAGATGTCTTGCGTGACAAGCCAACTAACTCTACAATATCTCTAGAGATCAATCTATACAAGGCTAGAGATAAGAGGAGAATCAGTCGGAAATAAATACAAGAATATCACGTTTCAACAGTGGGGAGCATGGCTATTTTCATATCACACCATAACATAAATGAGGTTCCGATGTATGCCTCTGGTCACCATATTGTTTTTATACTTTCTGTATGTACAATCTTATACTCTTGTTTATCATACTAAATGATTCTCAAACATCTATGACCCTTTCTTTGGTGTAGTTGTAAATAAGCAGGCCTCAGTTCTGTTCTTTTCATTGATGTACATTTGTACTTGTTTGTAAAAAAAAAATGTTTGTATGATTAGCAAATCCTTTAAAAGGATGATTCCAGTCGCTAGTTTCAGAGATGGGTACCTAGAAGGCTAGAAGCTTAGTGTACTTAGAAGAGTAACATATTTTCTAGAACAATTTGTGAACAGACTCTCCTATGCTCTCTAATGTGCGCAGCTGCTTCACCTGTACTGTGCGTACATTTGTTCTCTTCTGCAATATCATGGAGACTAGAAACCACTTCTTTGTACTCGGCATTACAATTTTCTTGGACAGGAGCTGCATGCAATTTTGGTTCAAGTAGCGAGATGGTCACGTGCTCCTGTAAGTAATCCGATCACTCTGTGATCCTCCTTGTCGTCAGTTATCTGTGTTCCCAGCTTGCTTCAGATGTTGCATAATCCATGTCCACTCTTGAGAACTAAGAGCAGCTCTTTAACATTCATGTTTCAACTCACTGTTTTTTTTCCATGCTC